TTTTGACTACAAGCCACTGCTCCGCTTGCAGTTTTAATCACGTGATTTCATGTGGCAGGGTGTATTTGCCAACTACTGAGGCCAGTAGGTTGCGACCAACCGACTACTCTCTAGTTGCCACGACCCACAAAGAAATGTTATCACTTTCATGCTGCACCATCTGCTTGGATGGATCGTTTGGGAGTGCGGTTCATCATCGTTTTGTTATGTTTACATTTTTCGGATTTAAGCAGATGCACACGTTCAACTTGAAAAAAATACGTTTTCAATTGTCACCTGGATAGACTGAAGCGATATAAACAACCAGATGACACTCGCCAGTAGTAGAATATCGGGAAACGACTCGATGTATATCAGAAGTAGGGTAAATTTTTAAGTTATTTTTTAATGAAAGCCTATCTTATGGCTTAGTGTGCAATAAATGAGAAACTCAGGTTTTGAAAAATTTTGTTTGTTGAATTTCACTTGTCAATTCCTCTGTCAGTCACCAAACGACAACGTGTTTACCCGTCCGGAGCATAAAATGCTATGTGTTTGTTTTAATGGTTCCAATATTACAACAATAGACTAAGGCGACAGAAAATGGGTTCATAGAAAAAAAGTGGAAATAATCGCTTGTGATTCTCGAAATTGAATCAACTTTCGAATTCTAAATTATTACCCTCGCAGTTTGCTCACACCTAAGTTGATATGGCATTATCACAGAAACTTGTTATCGTTAGGGACTCTAAGATGTTTGACATTTTTTGAATGAATTCAGTTCCGATTTTTTTAGTTTTTAAAACCACCTACTGTCGTGCGGTGGTTGCGGTTGCTGTCACTTGGCTACCCACTTGGATAGAGGGATCAATAACTGACTGATTGGAATGTTCAAATCAGTGTCATTGTGAAAAAGAGAGAATTCATGAGGACTGAGGTTGCAAAGAAATTGAAGAGATGGATGATCGCCGCTGTCTCAGACACAACCGTATCACTCAGTGTTTCGGTTACGCCGATCACGATGTTCCCATCTACGAAGCCTAACGCAATGTATATGAGCGACTATTCTGGTCAGGGTTTTCATACCCTCATGTCAGGTCTTATTTTGACCACCTTTGATTATTTCCATCCATCATCTTCCTCGGCGAACAACACGCGCCGCGGCAATCTATTTGGTGATATGCGTAACACGCCCCAATCAATGTAATCTATTTGGGTCGACCATTTGCTCCACTGGGCGACCGCATTTACCTAAAATTCTACGCCCAACCTCAGCATTGCTTGTCTGGTTTCCCCACCAGACTCGTAATGTGGCTTAGACAACGGTGTTCGGCCACAGAAAAACGATATACATGCAAAACATGAAATTAGTTCACAAACAGAGGGATCATTGTTAGTTGAATCGGAAACAACGTTTGAAATGATGAACGTAATTGGAATCGCTTGAACTGTGTTGGAGGATTAAAATGTCCGCTGTTAATAAATGGTCCGTGGTTATTGTGCATTATTTTGAGGGAGAACTATTTTCACTGCTTTATTCCCCATTGTTTCATCTTTTTTCTCTATAATTCATGTAATGCATGTCATATGTAATTGCTCGTATTCAGGTTGTACGTTTGGTCAGCGAAAGTTTCAATTACAACGCCGTGGACCGAGCAAAGGCTCGCACCAAACAACACGTGGCATCCCGGTTTCCCGAACTGGGACGACATTTTCACCGATTGGGTTTACCCCCAAAGGTAGGTCACACTGTGTTTTCCGCCTCCGTAGATGTACGAACGAGCGAATGCACCCATGGCATACACAGATTCACCGGTGCTGTCACGTGCACTTTTAATTTATCTGATTCGATAATTCCGAAGGTGGTCACGCATCATTCGTTTCATATCCGGGATTCGTTTAAAAAATATCCCTCAATGGTTTCGCATACGTCGATTGTGTGCCTGTTCCTTTACTCCACGTCGGATTCCTTCACCCTCTCAAAGATGTATATATCTGTTTCCCTAATTTTTCTTCACTTCGATAACGATTTCATTATGAAAATATGATTTTTTTTTCACTTTGCGCTTCATATCATGTTTTTCTTCAATAACTTTTGTTCCGGTTATTGTCTTTCACCCTTACGTTGATTTAACCATAAGCAAAAGGTTGAAATTCTTAAATCAGTTCACTAGTTGACTAGTTGGCTGAAAGCTTCAATACAATACCATGTAAGAGGTCATGAACATGATATAGTTTCAGTTTACACAACCATAAACTTTGCACTTTTGTGCGCCACTTTTGGCTGTGATCGTTGACTATACATGGAAAACGAACAGCAACCAGTCTCCGGATAACGCTGCAGGATGCAGTAAGACCAACTGTGCACCGAAACCGCTCGTGCATCCTCAAGTGCCACTGCTTGTCACATTCAGTAACAGCGCCCAGTGTCACAAACCATTGATTTGCTTGGTCACGAAGTGTACAACTAGGCAGCTTAATGCAGCCTTACGATCAATTTTTTCATCATCANTGATCCCTATTGGCTTTCTCTTAACTACTGTCTGCCTCGCTATGCACTGCACGCCGGGCGAGCTTCTCTGATGACATGCCCAAGACATTTTTCAGCCATTTCAGTCAATGGAGGTCAAGCGCTTGAGTAAATGCTTAACGGCAACTATATAATACTCTTAGTCTAAATTCGGTATCACTTTTGCGGTTATCCCACCATATCTTTGCAATACGTTGTAGACAATGGTGTTGGGACATCTGACTCAGTAGCATAATAGCAAAATTGATTGTCGTGTCACCTGTGTAATTGTCACTGAGCGTGCCAGATAAGGTTGCTTAACTCATTCAAGAAGCTTGACTAATCAGGGTCATCAGTATCATATTTCATCTGTGTCTCCGAAAGCCTCAGTATGGTCGGGGTGGGTGTTCTGGCATTGTGACTGGTCACCATTCTCCTACCCGCGAAATGCTCCTATATAACGAAGCGTCTCAAATAGCCTCTGCTGAGGAAGCTCTACTCACTACCTTCCTGGGACGTAAGTGTTTTTCCCATCAAAGCGAGAGGACGAAAAGCCGAGATCCGAGGCTATAACTGGGTTGGCGAACCATTGACAGTTCACCTAAGGGAGTTGGCTAAAAGCCCTGATTCCAAACCAACCAAGAAGAGGCGTACGAACCACACGCACACCTTTCTGGTTGCGGCAATGGTAACCGGCTGAATTGGGCATCAATGTGCATTGGCACCTTGGGCGTTTGACCCCGTCCAAAGGGCGCATGGTCCAATGAATTGACACCGACCCCCAATGGACTGCGGACTCTGAGCTCCGTCCTGTTATCTCGTCGGTCTGGCTTTTTCGCTAAAGGCTTCGGGTGGGGACCCCGAGGTTATCCCCCTTCCTCGGCCAGGCAACCGGGGAGTAACATGCCCACACAACCTATAAACACATTCTTCAAACTTCTTTTTGTTCATATGTTGTGACACATTTGCCAGTTCTCTATAATTGGTTACGTGTTGAAATAAATCAATCAATAAATATTTCATCAGTTTGACCTGTTTCATTGTCTGGGTCTTGGTCACAGTCTTTGTGAATTAACCCTCAGTTCTCATGCTACATTTTTATGGGCGGTATTGTCCAAATGCAGCTGAAACCACCAAGTCAGAGAGCGCGCTGGGTGATGATGAGTATACATTAAATGTGAGTGATCCACAGTCGCAGACTTCATTGGTTCGAACCGTTGTGGCCCGCCGCTCAGAACAGGCATCCTCAAAAAGCAATGGTTGTTCAGCAAGGAGATGAGTAAACCTAACGACCTCGGACTTGATTTAAACTTGTCAAGGTGATTAACGTCGAACCGAGTGACGTTTGCGTTACAAAGCCTAGTTTAAGTTGAAGAGAGTTGTTCCGCACATACATAGATGAAAGTTTTACGTGACCTGGTGCGCTTATGTTTGCTGGTTTTCGGAATTTCCTTCGTTGATTACAATACACTGTATTTCGAGTGGTTCATTTTACTAGCTTACCGTCATTTCCATCGCTTCTTGTTCTACTTTTCAGGTTGGATCCTTCCAGTTGTTTGTAGATTCATGTCGAGACGCTGAATATTGGCTCAAGCGTTTTGACAACGAGTCGTTACCTAAACCCACAGCTGAAGAACTGCAGTTCCAATTTGAAAAGCTGGTCGTGCTGGATTACGTGATCCGGAATACCGGTTAGTATTGCTGGCGGGGTGTGTTTTGAATACATCCGTGTTAGTTGCAATTGACCGTGCTTTCATAATGTTCCATCGCGTATTATTGACCAGTACACTTCATTAGTGCTTCGCAAGGGATTTTTATACACTGCTCGGTTTCTTCAGTCGTGATAAACAAAGGAAGGATAGTGGCAACCTTAGAGATTCGACATTTTCAGGCAGCCTAATGAACAATCAGTCTCAGTTGTCGCACGTGTACGTACTAATGTGGCAAAAGGGTAAACGGATTGAAAATTGAAACGTCTTATTCATATCGGACAGCACGGTAAACAAGGGAAGACAAGAGGACCTGATGGGCTTCTTCCCATTCTTTTCAAGCTGGGGTGACTCAACTACTCGATCACTAGTTTACTTCGCAGCTTTTGAAAGAGCGTATCCCCTTATTTAGGGGCGGATCGTTGATCGTCCCTGTCTCCAGGATGGGATCACGCAACAGTTGTTTCAGTTCCAGTTCTTACAACCATTAACCATGCACTTTCGTGCGCCGGTTTTGGTTGCTGTCTTTTGGCCGCCCGTTTGGATGAAGAATAGAAGGAAAGTTGAAAGTGGAGTCGAAAAGAAAATGGAGAAGTTCAGTGGTCTAAGGTTGCAAAGGAATGGATAAGATGCACGGCGCCACTGTTTACGACACAGCCATATCACTCAGTTTCTCTAACTATCGGTTACGATCATTCTGAGGTCCCCAGTTGGAGAGCCTAACAGGACCTATGAGACCCAGACTTCTGGTTAGAATTTTCAAACCCTCGTAATATGTCTTAGCTTGACCATCCTTNCCCAGCCATATCATTCAGTGTAGCTAACCATCGGTGACCATCATCCCGAGGTCCCCAGCCGGGGAGCCTAACGGGGCCTATGTGACCTAGTCTCCTGGTTAGAGTTTTCATTCTCTCGTGCCAGGTCTTAGTTTGACCACTCTTGATCTTT